ACTGCCAGAAGAAAAAAAAATCCATCCTTTTCTGCTGAAGGATGATGGAAAAAGAAACTAGAATATGTTTCCTTGAATCCATCTACTCATTTTCTTATATATCTGAGCCTGGGTTACTTGGTGAGCTTAGTGGTACTGGGGTTTTGAACTTGGAGCCTGGTGATTGCTAGACAGGTGCTCTACTGCTGAGCCATGCCTCCAGATAGCTTGTTTTTTTTTTAAAAATTGTTGCTTTAATGAAGTCAGCCAAAAGAATGGGATGATTCTCATGCATGTCCTACCCTCAGGGTGGTCATGGAGGGACACAGATACCCAGGAGATCCTAATGCCATACATCAAAGGCTCAGGGAACAGGGAGAGAGAACCATTTGTGTGTGGCAGGGTGTACAGCAGACCACAGCAGGTGATGCTCGAGGATTTAGCAGTTAGGCAGCAAAGAAGGAATGACCACTGTTCCAAGCAGGGGAGTAGCATGCACTAAGGCCTGGAAGCTCCCCCATGCTCTCTCTCCTTCATTTATCCACCCATCCCTTTGCTTGGGGCCAGCAGTGTGCTAGGCACAGGGCTATGCAAGGAGAAGCAAACCTAATGTTGCCCAAGGGTGATGAGATGGGCAATTGTTATGAGAGCAGACGTATACACACTGCCTTGGGGCTGGGGTGAGTATGTGAAGGATAGTCAGGGAAGGCTTCCTTCCTAGAGGAGTCTTAAAGGTGGAGCTCAGCAAGTGAAGAATTAAGTACATAGAAGACCTGTGCAGAGACATAGAAGAGCATGTGCAGAGGCCCAGAGATGACCTGTTTCTTCATTTACTCACTATATGTATGGATTTGACAAAGCTGTATTGAACTGTAGCTGGCTGTTGGTATTATGCTCAGAGGTTATGAAGTGAGTAATTATAGTGATGCTCACAGTCCAATGGAAGTTTTCTTTGTTAACTTGAAAGTTTCCTGCTTGCTCACTGTTAGACTGTCAAATTGCCCTGGTCACCAATATCGTGGTTTGTTTAAAGGAAAAAAAATTAAAGAGTTATTTACAATAAAGGCTTATCATGAACAGGATTTAACAGTGCTTTCAAAATACATAACTCAGCTAGGGTGGCTCATGTCTGTAACCATAGCTACTCAAGAAGCTGAGATTTGAGGATAGTGGTTCACAATCAGTCTGGGCAGAAAAGTCCATGGGACTCTTATCTCTAATTAATCACCGAAAGTAGGAAGTGGAGCTATGACTCAAGTAGTTGAGCACCAGCTATGAGCAAAAAAGCTAAACAAGATCTAGAGGCCCTGAGTTCAAGCCTCACAAAACAAAACCTCTTATACACACATAAATACATAATACATACATACGTACATACATACATACATACAACTCCTGCCAGAGTGCCCTGGAGAAAGGAGGGTCCCTCTAGTCTAGCTCACCCAGAACTGGTAGAAAAAGAAAGCCCAGGTGAATTGTGGCAAACAAGATGGCTTTAAGAAAGAATACTTTCTGTATCCACGGATTTTGAGGTTTTGGACAAACTAATAGGCCTAGAATATTGTGTCAGGTTCACTGTGCTCATAAACTGCTTGGGTGAATGTCAGCTCCTTTGTACAATGAGTTTAAGATAATCAAATTAATATATCTATAAAAATCAATCAAATGCAAAAATAAAAAGGGGTATTTCTTGTGTCTGCATATGCTTTCAAGTGTTTTTCAGACTTTTGGAGGCTCTGTCAAATGCCGGCTGTATTATCTGTTCTCAGTCAGAAGGGTTCCCTGAGCTCAGAGGTAGGGTTTTGTTTACTTCCTTAATGTGAGACTCACTTCCTGCCTAGAGCCTCATATGAAACAGAAAACCCCTGGCCCAGTTCAGCTTCCTGTGTAACATCATTAAACATCCCCCCAGCAACCATTACTCAGAAACATCTTAGGTTAACTTGCACCTCTTGTAACTTTAGGTCGTAAAAGGCCTGAGAAGCCAATCCCTGAATATGGGTGTACACACAGATAACCTCTGGATTGGCTGAAAGAAACTGGTCCCAGCTGTTTCTTCTGTCCTAGAAAAAGAGACCCTGGGTATATCCACGCATTGCAGAATTTTATGTAGGTCATTTTCCTTCATCCTCTAGATCTGGAAAGTTGCTAGAAATTTGGGTGTGAAGAAGACCAGAGTCTAAGATATTTAGGTCTTACAGATCAAACTCAAAGAAACATTTTCTGAAATAGAGAAATAAAATGAATTAACACGCCAGTAACACTTTTTTTTTCTGACTTCAAAAGCAGCTTAATTAACTTAAATAAAAACCATCAGAAACAATGAGAAGTGCAAGACACTATGTTGAAAACGAAGTTTACAACTTGGGAGGAGAGGAGGGAAGAGTTGGGGCTGTGGGGAGGGAAGGGATGGTAGGGAAAAACAAAGAAGGAGGTAACAATCCTTGATAGGAAATATACTCGTTACCTTACTCATATAATGTAACCCCTCTGTACAGTATTTTTACAATAAAAAAAATTAAAAAAACCCATCAAAGCCTCTGTTGCATGAAATCTTTCAGTGTTCAAAATTTGATGTTTAAGAACAAACTTTGCTGGAAGTGAAGTTGTTGCTCAAAGTGGTACAGCACTAACCTTGAGCCAAAGAGCTCAGGCACAATGCCTAGGCTCCGAGTTCAAGACCCACCATTGACAAAAAAGAAAAAAAAAAGAACTTTGCCAATCAATTCACCATGTTTTCAGTGACCAAGAAACAGCTCACAAATTAACATTAAAATAACTTTTTCCTGATTCTAAAAATACTCACTGATCATAAAGACTACAGAAAAAAATCCATAATTTTGTAACCTGAAGGTGGAGGTATAGTAGGAAAAATTGGGATCTGACTGTAACTCGTGCCCTGGGGTTCTGTGTATGTGTTGGTGTGTGTGAGTGTATGTTTTCTTTTTCCTCTCTAATTCACTCAGCCTAAGATGACTGCAGAGCACAGTGACATTTTAATGGCCACTAGGAACTGTTTTAAGGCTCCATTATGTTTACTTAACCTGTCTCTTATTGTTGGTCCTTTATATCGTTTTTCTTTCTTTCTTTGTGAATAGCACTGAACTTAAAACATCAGGGCAGATGTACTCCATGCCCATTCTCAGGCTAGCCTTTAGAAGAGGGCTGCTGGGTATCTGGGCGGTCTCTGATTGTGACATGAGAGGCTCAGCATGTCACCTCCAGGAAACTAGGGTGAGTCTAGAGAGTTCTTTGCGAGGGAGCCTGAGGCACAGGAATTGTGGCTGTTTCTGGCCTGGACTCACTCCTCAGGGCTTGCCTGGGAAAGCAGGAGGTGGTGAGCTGTAGATACTGAGGCAGATGCTCCCTCCCTGCCCCCTCCGCCCCCCTGCAGGGCAGGGAGGGGTGGTGGGGTGCACTGGGTTTACTGCTCACAAACCCAAGCACCAGTGGCCAGGTGCAATTGCTTTTGTGGGTTGAGATTTTCGGTGCTCACGGGGCGGCTGGGGGCTGCAGGTAACTCTTATCCTGGGAAGGGTGGGCAAGGACACAGCACCAGTTTGTGTCCCAGGACCCCAGGACCACCTCTGGTACTCAACCAGGACTTTGGTAAAGGTCAGAAATTTGTTGACCAAATGTGCCCCCTAGTGGCCACCACGTGTAGCCATCTTCCAACCACAATTTCAACCCCAACTTTACCTCTGAATCGCAATGTGGCTCCCATGCCTACTCTGAGTCTCAACTGGCTCATCTGTGAAATAAAGTCATACCTTGCTTAGCGAGGAGGGAAGAGCTCAGGGATGATGCATCTCTTGCTACTTTTCTTTAGGTCAAGCTGGGAAACCAAAGACAGGGATGTTCTGATTCATCTGGAGGTGACTTTTGGGCTTCTTAGAGAAGGAGAGATCTCATGGGCTCCAAGGCTGGTTTCATGTGGGTTCCAAGAGCAGCCCCCACAGACAGGTGGAAAAAAGATCAGCTAGTGAATTGAACTCTGGAAATGAACTTACAACCATCAGGGAGTCTGTCCAAGAAAAGCGGCTAAATGTTGATAAGAATAGCAAGCTTTGTGGGATTCTAACATGCCCCTCTACCCAAGCATTCAGTCACAGTGAACACCAGCAGCCACTGGAAGGGCAGAATGGAGGCGGTGCTTTCCCAAATAACTGATAACAGTCAGCATCCAAAGGCCTGGCAATTCCCTGAAAGACCTCACTACAAGACTGTGTTTATGTGACCTGATTTGGACACAATCAGTGATAAAGGTTTAACCCAGGAGGTTTCTAGGCATTGCTGGCAGCCAGGGCATATTAGAAGATGTCCAAACATTTGAAAAGGAAAAGTTGAAGAATAAGCTGTTCATAGAGGCTTCTGGAAAGCTCTGGAATGTTCTTAGGAATCTAGAAGCCCCACCTGTGTAGAGCTGTGCATATGTTCAGGAAAGACTTTGGTTCAAATTGCAAGTGGTGCTGTAGCACTAAGTATGGAGGACCTCATGTGCTGTGAGTGAGAGGGAGCAGCGGGATTCGAAACAGGGACTGGGAGGGCGCTGGCAGGAGAAGAGGCTGGCTGGAGCATTCTTTGTTGTCTTACCATCTGTTTTCTTGGCGACTCAAATGTCTCCTTTCCCTCTGGATTCCTCTCATGATGGTGTCGGCAGGTGTATGCTTGTTTGCACATGCTTGTGTCAATGTGCATGCACAAGCATGTAAAGGCATGCATTGATGCATGCATGTGCATGCACACATATGAATATGCCCAGATGAACACATATCCATATGAACATGTATAGAAAACACATGTCCTTGCATGTTGTTCACACATATTTTTATGTGTGCATGCCTATGTGTATCAGTGCATGTACATGCGTGTGCACACATGTGTGTATGTAAGGCACATGAGTGCAGGTGGTTGGATGTGTTTGGAAATATACATGCATGAATGTGTATGTGTAAGCTACGTGGAAATGTGTGCGCATGCATATGTGTTTCCCCAGAGCTATCTTTGCTCCAGAAATGGAAGAATTTTGAGATTTTCCTTTATTTAAGTATAAAAAAATTACAGTACGTCTCATGCACCAGTGCGATCAATATATAGTCATTACCTATAGAGCGATTACCACGAGGATAGGAAATAGGAGGTTATAGGAATTGTTTCCCTAACTCAAAAAACTGAACTAAAAGTGTTAATCTAAATAGAAACCTGCTTAGTATGCACAAAACCCTTATTCTCTATGTCCAAGAGAGTGCGAAGCTGGTAAGTATCGTTAATAAAAAGATGATCATGGAAAACTAATGATTGGTTAAGCACATGTCAGTGTTATTTACAGTTGCGTGTGGGGGGAGGGGCCTTGCCTGGCTTGTGGGGGGTGTGTGTGGAGGGTGAGGGGAGCGAGGTCCAGGTGTCTCCTTCCCTGCCCTTCTGGGTCCATAAGGCCTGTTTGCAGAGCTTGGAGGGGGGAGGTGGATGGGAGTGGAGGGCATGGGGGGGGCACTGCCTTCCACAGGAAGTGCTTGAGGGTCGGTTCCCTGAGATGTGGCAACAGTGAGCTGGAAAGGCAGACGGATGGCACAGCAGTCATGGAGTCTGGCCAGACTTGCTGAGGGCAACATCTTGGAGGTTTCCAAGCCAGAGGTGCATAGGGAGAGAAAAAGCAAAAAGGAGAGAGCATGAGTGACCAGGTGAGGCAGAGGTGGGGAGGGGCGGGCTCTGTTTCAGTCTGCCTCCCTCCCGGTGAACCTGGTTGATGATGTCAGATTGTGGGGTTGGGTGGGGGGGGGATCACAGCCCCTTCTAGGCCCTTCTCCAGAGAGGGTGGGTGTGGAGGTGGTCCCCGGTCTCCACTATCCCTCCAGGATAAATTCACAGTTGCTTCAAGTTCAACAAGCCAGTTTCCCTGAACGGATCAACACTCAGCGGGTCACAGTTCCTGCGGCCATGGCCGGGGCGGGGCGGTGGCTGGGTCCACGCAGGATCCCAGGTCAGAAGCTGGCACAGGACCCCTTCCTCCCTGTCGCCAGGCCTGGGGAGGGGCTGGGTAGAGGCCTGTGTGTGTGTGTGTGTGTGTGAGGGGGTTACAGCAGGGTTGGGACTCTTGAGAGCAGGTACAATGGTGTCTCCCTTAGGGACTAGGCTTCAGAGAGTCTCTGGTCCTCCAGGTCATGGGTCTAGCCTTCTGTCTCCTGGCTGGCAGGCACCAGGCCTTCCCAGAGAGGGGAGAGGGGGTGTCCAGTGATCCTCAGGGAAAGCACCCCCGCCCTGCCCTCTTTCCACAAGCATTTGAACAGGCTACTTTGCTTGACAGCTTTTCAGTCAGGAAAAAGTCTTTGAGCTACATCTGTGATCTGGGGGACACAGCAGGGGCGGGGGAATGTGTCTATCCAAGCAGAGACAGAACACAGAGCCCTCAAGAATGGTCACTTCCCAGCCTTTTTAGGGGTGCCGGGATAGATCCCCCTGATGTATGGAGGACCTGGAGTTTGCTCCCTGGGGATTCGAAGGTCTTTGGCACCTACAAGGCAGGGGTGAGGGGCTGGGGGGGGCGGTTATCTCCCTGGAAGACTTGGTGAGTAGAGTGGAACTGGCCAAGGCTGCAGTGGGGTTTTAGGGGGACCCTTAGTACATCAGCTCCTCCCTGGGGTCGGATCCGTACAGCCCGGCTAGCGTCTTGAACCTGGGTCCCCAGTCGTTGAGAAAATCGTAATCGACGTCGGAGTCATCGGAGCCGGTGCCCAGGGAGCTGAGCGATTCGGCGACCGACTCGGAGCCCTCGAAGTCGTAGATGTGCAGCGTGTCGTAGGGCGGGCCCTCGGCGTCCTGGTCCGCCTCGTCCTTCTTCACCTGGATCATCACGGCCATCTCCCCGGGCGCACCCTGCGCCCCGGGGGCCACCCGCGGCTGCTTCTGCACCTGGCTGTAGACAGGTGGCCGGGCGTCCAGGGCCACCCGCTGGGGCTTGGCCCGGCCGTGCCGCACCGAGTTGAGCACCGACACGTCGTAGCTGGTCGTGTCCATCTCCCCTCCGCCCTCCTCGTCGTAGGTGACCAGCTGCTCGTGGATCTCCGGCACGTTCTTGCCGCTCGCCTTGGCCTGTTTCCGGAGCCGTCTCCGCAGGAAGATGAGCAGGGTGATCACTGCCAGCCAACAAGAGCCGCACACGGTCAGGACGTGGTCCGCTGGGCACCCGTCCCTCCCACGTCCCCTCCTGGGGCGCTGGGGATGGGCCATCCGCAGTGGGTGCAGCCCAGATGTATCAAGGTCAGCGTGAGGATGAGACTCGGTGCCAACTGCACTGAATGAGATGCTCAGCTAACCTCACCCCACGCCCTGGGTTTTCTCCTTTTCCCTTGGACAGCGGGTGCTGACTGAGCCCAAAGAGGCCTCACGAGCCAGGGTCAGTGGCATAGTGGAGATCAGCTTGAAGCTCTGGGGGGGTATGGCTGGGAGAGGGTCTGAGAATCCCAGGAAAGGGCGAATCAAGTGGTACAGAGCTCAAGCCATGCCTTGTAAAACAGGGGTGTCCTGAGCCTCAGTTTCCTTATCTGTAAGATGCTTGATTGTACGTGGCTTCTCTGTTTTGGCAAAGATGGTATATTAATCTCTCTCTCTCTCTCCTGGAGACCTTGTGTTCTCACTTTTGTTTTTCTTAAGGCTGGTGCTCTACCACCTGAGCCACACCTTCTCATCCAGAATTTTGCTGGTTAGCTGGAGATAAGAGTGTTGGGATTTTTTTTTTTTCCTGCTCAGGCTGGCTTAGAACCCTGATCCTCAGTTCTCAGCCTCCGGAAAAGCCGGGTTGTCAGGCGTGAGCCACTGCTGCATGGTTGAAATGCAGTTCTAGGGATAGGGGCAACGTCTTGTTTGTCATGAGTTCTACTCATTGTTGGGATTGAGGTCTCACGGAAGGGACGCGCCCAGCAGAGCCACTGGCAGGGAAGCTGGGCCCAGTCACTGCGGTGCGAGGGTGAGCCTCATCACCCAAGGGTTTCCTTGGAGTGTGTGTGTGGGGGATTTACACCCCTGGAAGGGGTTCCCCAGACATCCGCTGATGGATCAGCACCAGTGGGGCACCCACCTCCTCAGGAGGGCCCTGAGGCCGGGCCCCAGGCTGCCTTCAAGCCATGGCCGGAGGAAGGTTATTTCTTGAAGTGAAGCATAGGGGGAGGGGCTTTGCACCCTGGCCCCTCCCCCCCTCCCCCGGGCATCCCATTGTGCCTCCTCCCTGCCCCACGGGCACTGACCTGTGATGGTGAGGATGCAGAGGAAGATGGCTACCAGAGCCTGGATGCTAATGCCCACCTGGGCGGCCACCTCCTCGCAGAAGGTGAACTCGCCTTGCGCGTTGCATTTGCACACAGCCACCGCCAGCGTGTTTGTGCTTGTCAGGCTGGGCATCCCATTGTCCGAGATGAGCACGGGCAGGTAGTAGACTTTAGCATAATCCCGATCAAATGGCCCATACTTCACGGTGAGATTCGCTGTGTTATCTGCAAAGACCCAAGGCCACACAGTGAGGTTGTCAGCAGCATGCCCCACCCCGCCCCCCCTTTGCAGGGGAAGAAAGCTGCCCCTTTCTCCAGGAAGCCCTCCTTGATTGCATGTCAGTCCATCCTGGGCTGCTTCTCTACCCTTTTGCATCCCGTGTGTTCCTAGATCAGCCACCTGAGCCTGTTTTCTTTCACAGTGACTCAGTTTGAGAAAGTGCTTTGATCCAGCCTGAAAGAATGGCTCAGCCAGAATGTAAAATTCCTGCTCTGTTTTTGTGGGCAACAGGTGGCCCCTGTCTCCTAATTTCCCCCCAACACACACTGATCACACAGGCCTTACTCCTTTGGCTCAACTAATTATCCTGAGGTTTCACGTTCCCACGAGCAAGTGGGAGGTGGGGGAGGGGGTGGGGAAGGAAGTGAACTTGTGAAATGTCTTTGAGCATGGGACTAACTTGGAGGGCGGTTTCTGCTGTCTCTGAAAAGGCATCATAATAAAGGATGTCGACAATTGTAAAAACAATTCCTGGGTCCCCTCAGCCACCGAAAGAATGGTTACATTTGCCATGGTCTGTTTCAGAATAGCCTGACGCCAGGAAGAGACTTCCGTCCAAATAGTGACTCCCTCTCCCCACTCCTGTCGTTGTTTTCCTCTCTAAATCTGGGAATGGTGGCACAACCTTATAATTTCAGCTATTCAGGAGGCAGAAATTGGAGGATCACAGTTGGAGGCCAGCTTGGGCAAAAGTGAGATGCCCTGTGTGGAAAAACAACCTAAAAGCAAAAGGACGGGGGAGGCTTTCTCAAGGGGTAGTGCACCCGTCTAGCAAGGTCAAGGTCAAAGTACCTCCAGGAAAATACCACCACTACCAAAGAACTTCTCCAGGGATTTTTCTTGTTGTTGGTTATGGGCTTGAACTCTGGGCCTGGGTGCTGTCCCTGCACTCTTCAGCTCAAGGCTAGTGCTCTTCCATTTGAGCTACAGCACCACTTCCGGTTTTCTGGTGGTTTTATTGGAGATAAGAGTCTCACGGAGTTTCCTGCCTGGGCTGGCTTTGAACCGCGATCCTCAGATCTCAGCCTCCTGAGTAGCTAGGATTACAGGTGTGAGCCACCAGCACCTGGCTTTAGGGATCATTTTAAACCATCCTAATTTTCAGACCCCTGGCTTCTCCACCTCTTCCTTCTTCCCTTCCCCCTGGTTCAGTCACTGTGGACAAAGGACAGACACGCTGCCTTCTGTAGAACCTTGAGAACTTGCAAACAACAGAGGCTCTAAAAGCCATTCACTGGATTTCAATCAGACCCAGTTGCATCTCATGATTTCTGCAGACTTGCAGGACTTCCAAAGGGGATCTAAGACCAATCTCTTGGCTTGGTCCTTGATTTTGGTGTTTCAAGGCTCAAATAATTCCCCCCCCGTATATCCCCACTCCCCATCCTGTTAAGAGCCAGCCCACTGCTCTGATGCGTACCATGATTATCCGTGAGGGTGAAGTTGCTGTTGTCTGTGTTCAGGGTGAACTTGAACTTGACATTTTTTGGTGTTATGTCCTCATCGATTGCGGAGATCTGCATGACCAGCTGGAGATGGAAGAGACAGACGGTGTGGTTTGGGGGTGGCCAGCGGTTCAGTGATGGTGTCCAGGACTGCCTCTTCTGCAGTTCTAACCTAAATAGTCTCCCAAATCCATTTTTCTACCTCCGCCCTGTTCCCATATGTCTAATTTTCTCTTTAGCCATTCTCCTGGAGCCTCAGTCTCCCCATCTGTCAAATGATCGCCTATTTAGCCTTAGTCTCAGGGGAACAAGTGTTTCCCCTGGACTCAGCCAGACTCACTTTGCCCGGCGGTGCATTCTCACACACTTTGGGCTCGTAGGGCTGCGCGAACTTCGGGGCGTTGTCATTCTCATCCAAAACTTCAATGTGGACCTGCACGATGGACTCCTTGCCTGTGGAGAGTCCTGTGGGGAGAAGAAGACATTGTCACCACCATGGGCTCCACGGCTGCCCGCCTTTGTTTGTGGCAAGGCGTTCTGAAGGACTTTCCACATTCTGCCAGCAGAGGGTGATGTCGATCTCCAGAAGAGAGGCCTGCAGGATGGAAGAAGGGCATGTGGAGACCCGGAAACCTCAGGTGAGGAGGGTTATTACTCAGGGACAGGCACACCGGGCCGGCAAGGCACAGGTGGCTCAGGCCTGTAATCCTAGCTACTCAGGAGGCTGAGATCTGAGCATCATGGTTTGAAGCCAGCCGAGGTAGGAAAATCCATTAAACTCATCTAATTAACCACCAAAAAGCTGGAGGTGGAGCTGTGGCTCACATGATAGAGCACTAGTCTTGAGCAAAAAAAGCTCAAGGACAGCACCCACGCTACCAAAGCCCTGGAACCAGCATGCGCACACGTAGGCACACACACACACACACACACACACACAACTCTATCATATTGGAAAAGGTTTAAATTAATAAAATTAACAATTAAGTCACTAAATCAACCAAATCAGTAGAATTGATTAATATGTATTAATAAATAATTATGTAATTATTGAAATAATGTAACCCTTCCCTGAGTCTCTGTGGGTTCTTGATACAGTGGCCTGTGAATTTTGCTTTGGGAGGGTGGCTGTGATTCTCTCTCCCCTTTTCCTTTTCCTTTCCCTTTCCCTTCCCTTTCCCATCCATTTCCCATCCATTTCCCTTCCCTTTCTCTTTCTCTCTCCCTCCCTCCCTCCCTCCCTCCCTTCCTCCCTTCCTTCCTTTCTTCCTTCCTTCCTTCCTTCCTTCCTTCCTTCTGTTTATACTCTATTTGGGTTTAAAAATGGCTTTTTATTATCTTTAAGTAGTTACTCAAAGGAGTTTCAATTCAGCATACCCATTTATGAGGACATTGTGTCTTGTACTCAATATTAGCCTTTCATCATTCTCCCCCATCTCTCCCAAACCCACCAATTCCCTCGAGTTACCCGATCGATCGTGACTCTGATACAGGTCAAGCATGCGCCCCACCTCCTCCCTCCAGCTTCCGCCCCTGCTTCAGTTAGAATTTACACTCTTCAGTTGAAAGCGGCCTCACCGTTTGAACTCGGCCTGTGAGCTGGTGCATCCCTCCCTTCCACAAAGGACCCTTTCCTAGCCTTCGCTGCTATTAATCACTTGATACTCGCACAGCTCTTCCCATGAGACTCGCAGGGAGATGTCCGAGAAGCTGTGTGTAGTAAGTACCTTGGGTAGTTTTCATCCTACATGAAAATACTTACCTGTGCAGCCTGCTTCCTACCAATGCTTCTCCAGTGATGATGCGAGTGAAATCCCAGGCTTGGGGCCAGAGATTCTGCATTTCTAACAAGACCTCAGGTTGCCCCCATGCTGGATCACACTTGAGGATGCTTCAGCAGGTGCTAAAATACCTCTAGAGGGCCCCAAATGCCAGATTACACCAGATGTGAAAGAATAAGGCCAAAGGAAAAACACCCAGGTCCCCTGGCACACAGGAACCACACTCACCATTAGAATCCAGTTCTCTGGCCTCGACAGTCAGGTTATACCAGGGGTAGACTTCTCTGTCCAGTTCTTTCTCGTTGTTAATAGCTCCATATTTGTTTATGCGGAAGAATTGGCCTTTGTCACTGGTCTTGCGGATAGAGTATCTGCCCGGGGAAGAAAGAATTCCGTAACTTCTTATTGTCTGCTGAGTTCATCCTCCTCAGTATGGTGGTTCAGGCCGTTCAAGTCTATCTCTGGCCTCTTCCATCCCCCCCCCCCTTCTTACCACTCATCACATGCTACCACTCAATGTAGTGAGCATGGACGGCCATACACCAACACAGAGGGAGTGAGGGGATTGAGACAGTGGACTGAACCGGGTATCTGAGACTCCATCAACAGCACGTTCAGAGGCGACTGAGTGACACTACAATCAACTATACCATAGCTGGGACTTTTGTTTTTCCCTTGGTATGTGTGATTACTGAGCTGACAGGTGAGCAAGAGCCAGGGAGAAATAAAAAGGGAGCCAGAAATGGTGACTCCAACTGGTAATCCTAGCTACTGGACACGGGCAATGGCAGTGTGAGGCATACAGATTTATTAGATTCTGTCTTCACGAATGGCTGGATGCATTGATGTGTAGCTGGCATCCTAAGTGATTGGAAAAAATGCAAATAAGAGGATTGCAGTGCAGGCTGGCCTAGGCATAAAATGAGGCCTCGCTTGGAAATAATCAACATGACAAGGAACTGCTGGGAAGGATGATATTGATACATGCTGGTAGCATACGTAGTGATCCATGGGAAATCAAGTTACCGGAAGGAACACACACTCACTCTTTTTTTTTTTTTTTTGTTGGTCGTGGGGCTTGAACTCTGGGCTTGGGTGCTGTACTCTTCAGCTCAAGGCGAGCCCTCTACCGCTTAGTGCCACTTCCGGTTTTCTAGTGGTTTATTGGAGATAAGAGTTTCACGGACTTTCCTGCCTGGGCTCCTCAGATCTCAGCCTCCTGAGTAGCTAGGATTACAGGTGTGAGCCACTGACACCCAGCTCACACTCACTCTTAATGTCACCATGCTTCTGGGAGAATGTGACACAAGGGTCCCCTTGGTGACTGAGGTTGGAGGAGAGGAGTCTGAGACAGGGGAGTGAGTGTTATGGTCTACAGGTGTTCCTCACAAGCGCATGTGTTGGAAATGGAATCCCTAGTTGTGTGGAGGTTGGGCCTTTGGAAGAATTGGGTGGGCTTCTAAGGATGGGGACCCCCAGGATGACATTAGTGGCTTTATAAGAAGCAGAAGAGACACTTGAACTGGCCAGTTTGCTCTCCTCATGTGATGGCTTCTGTTGTGTTATGATAGTGCTGGAACTGTACTCCTGGACTTCCCTTTAGTCCAAACTATATAAGCTTACTATAGTTCTCTCCCTCTCTCTCTCTCTTTCTCTCTCTCTCTCTTGAACCACAGTACCACTTCCGGCTTTTTCTGTGTATGTGGTACTTGAGGAATTTTTGGAACCCAGGACTTCATGCATGCTAGGCAAGCACTCTACCACCGAGTCACCTTCCCAGCCCGAAGCACACCAGAGTTCTCCTCTTTAGAAAGAACCCTGCCTTTGGGAGGGCCTTATAGTGATAGAAAATCAATTAAGATATAACTGACGAAAGGAGCACAATGTGATCCAACAATGAAAAACAATCAATGTAAAGCCAGCCCCACAAAGAAATGACAACAAATCCAGCATACAGCAATCTGTGTGCCCATGTGGCCTGAGAAGGAAGATTAGACTGGACCCACATCAAACCCCTCCCCTTAGTGTGTGGGTCATAAACATTTCCTTTACAGACCTGTGTGTTGTTTCTCTGTATGGTGTAGACCCTGAAATTCTTCGTGTGTGTGTGTGTGTGTGTGTGTGTGTGTGTATAACAAAGGGGCTTCAAGATGTCGTCTGGTTGGTTGCTTTCTGCACTGTCAAGTCTGATTGTATGGTGATCATGTTAACTGTGGTCCAAAGAAAAGGTCCCCTGCCCCCTTACCCAATGGCACGCTGAGCTTCGTCCGGGTCTTTGGCCACCACAGTGCCGATCAGAGGTTTCTTCTGGTTCTCCCGCAGCTGGAACTGGTAGAAGTGTTGCTGGAAGACGGGCGGCTCGTCCACATCACTGATGTTGATGATGACGCGGGCTTTGCTCCTGCTGGAGATACTGCTTAGGTACTGCAGGTTGATGGTGGGGTCTGTGGCTTCAATGGTGAACGTATATTGTCGGATGTGTTCATAATCCAGCCGCTGAGAGAGAGAGAGAGAGAGAGGGAGAGGGAGAGACAGAAAAGTGGTGATACTTGCTGTGAGCCAGGCGGGATCTGTGTGGCCTCCACACGCACAGTGGCCTGGCCCAGGGAGATTTCCCAGGCGACCAGGGAGCTGTCTTCAGCTCGTTTCAATTCACTCCCTGGGATGCTATCCAATCCTAATGCTCTGGGTCCGGCCCTGATCCAAGCATCTACTGTGGACACACAGTGGATCAGCCTTGGTGCTGCTGTCAAGGAAATCACAGATCAGGTCCTCCCGGGAGCATGTCTTTGTTCAAGAAGCTTCTCCGGGGCTTCTTGCTTAATTCAAATGCCCATTCATCCTTCATGAAGCCAGTGAAGAAAGACCACCAGTGGGCCCCCTCCCCCTGCCCATTACCCATCTGCTTATTCATGAGCTCAGTTTTCGTCCTGTACACGGTTCCTGGAGCTTTCTGGAATCATCTCCCCAATAAGCAAATGACACCAAATAAATCTCTGCCCGAGGCTCAGGATCCCCAGTGCTCTGTCTGGCTTGGAGCATTCTCCTTTGACAGCCTCTGGGCCTCCGGCGTGATAGCACTGTGGCTGGCCTCCATACCTTCATGGGCTTGATGATCCCCTTGTTGTGGTCCGCATCTGTCTCGATGGTGAAGGTGTCTCTGTACTCGCCTTGCATGATGCTGTACTTGGTCATCCGGTTTTCAGGCTCATCCGGGTCCTCAACCAACAGGAAGCCCACGGAGCTTCCCACACGCACGTCTTCAGGCACCGTGAATACGTACAGGTCTGATACAAATAGGGCACCCCAAGGGGGTACTGGGTTAATAACGTTAATATGGTATTACCCTTTCCTATGATCTTGCTCATGTATGTGTATGTGTGTGTTTAAGGCATGTATACTGCAGTATATATATACATGTATATTATAATACTGGGGATTGAACCCAGGGCTTTGCATGTGCTAGTCCAATGCTCTATCACTGATCAACATCTCCAGCCTTTTTAAAAGATGGAGTGGGTTTCACTATGATTCTCCTGAGCCCTAGATTACAAGCATGCATGACTGTACCCTTCTATCTTCCCATATATACATATATATTTTCATATAGATATGCACATTTTTTTTGGTTGGTCATGAGATTGAACTCAGGGCCTGGATGCTGTCCCTGACCTTTTTTGCTCAAGGCTAGTGCTCTACTACTTTGACTCACAGCTCCACTTCCAGGTTTTTAGGTTGTTGATTAAGAGTCTCAGGGATTTTCCTTCCCCAGCTGGCTTTGAACTCAGATCTCAGCTTCCTGAACAGCCACCAGCACCTGGCTATTTTCCCATATTTTGACACAGGAAATTGTCATGATAAACTATTGATAACAGCAATTATATTGATGCCCCTTGGGATTCTGGGCCCCAAGGCCAAAAGGCCTGCCTTATTTATTGGTCCATCCACCCAACAAGTAGTCATTGCTAAAGGACTTATTAATTGACAAGAGAGACAAATCTTGTCTTCAGGGAGCTTACAATACACACCAGGCCACTTCAGGAGGACTGGTGTCTTTGGGGTGACCAGGCCTCTGAATGGCACCTGCAGTTGTGGTTGTAGTGAAGAGAGCCCCTTGACCTTTCCTTCCCACCCACCCAGGGCATGGAGAAAGCTCTTGGTGAGCACTTTTGGAAGAGAATCAGTGTGTGGGTGCAGCCAGGTCCCATCCCTGGCTGTCTCTCAGTTCACTGCGTCACAGGGATTTTTGTGGGTGGGGCTGAGTCTTGCTATATGGGAGAGCTGGCTTCTGATTGCATAGTGTCTGGGTGAAACCACCCTGTTTCGCACAGTAGGGCTTAGGCACCGTGCCAGTACCATGAGGAGTTTGAGTCCTCTTTGTCCTATAGGAAAACCTGTGCTGGGGCCAGCTGGATGGCCTCTCAAGTGAAGCACAGGCATGGAGGCATCTGAATGACTCAGGACCTCAGGTCAACCCTGAGGAGTGGGGAGAGAAAGAGGGATTTGGAGCATTTTCCCCGGAGTCCCAAACTCAGTGAATCTGAATGATCCCAACCAACCCCCTACCCAGCCAGGGTGCCAGGGATGGGGCTCACCCTGAGTGAAGATGGGGAAATTATCGTTGACATCTTTCAGAGTGATCAGCACGGTGGCAGTTCCAGATTCTCCATGGAGACCCTGGGCATCTCGCGCCTCCACCACCACCTCGTATTTAGATTGCCTCTCACGGTCCAAGTTTTTGTTTGTTGTGATAATGAGTCCTGAAAAAGTGTTCCAGGGAGAACCATATTACCCAAAGAGCTTTGAGGCAAATAAAAATGCCCCTGCCTGGCCTAGAAAGAGCCAGAGCTGTCTACAACTCCACTGGCCAAACAGTGTGCTCTGATATTGGTACTACCCACTCAGAACTCTGTGTTTAGAAAGATCATGAGGCCATATCCAGGCTCAGAGTGGGAGAGTGCAGTGATGGATTAGTGATGTCTGCCTTGGTGCACCACAGAATAGTAGTGGCAGCTACCCTCTGTGTTCATTATTCTTCTGAAAGACAGGATGCTCCTGCCTTGCTTCTGGCACTCAGTCCTGGCAGTTTTATTTTTCCTTCTATTTTGCTAAATTAAACTAAATTTGACTTGAGAAAACCTCTGTACTTAGATCCTTCAGTCCCGTAATGAACGGCAACTAAAAACTTAGAGGACTTAGGCCCAGCCAACCACAGCTAGCCAGTTGTTCTATTTAAATAAGGCAACCATGTATCAGCTGTTTCTGGACCTCCTTTCTGTGTTCTCTACATTAGTTCCTTTTCCTGTCCGTATGTGCTATCATGATCACTGTATCATCATCCTTATCACTTGCAGTTTCTCTGAACCTGTGTTGGTTCTGGACTACTCAATTCGTAAATTAAGTTCTACTGAATTCAATTTGTCTCAAGCCTTTCTTGTAGCAGGTCTCACGGGTGTCAGTGTGGCCCTGCTGTGTTCAGGCAGCCTTACCCCAGGTCTCTAGAGGGTGAGTCGCAGTGCTGGGTTTGGCAATCCGAGCTGTCTAAATAAAGAACGGCTACTCAGCAGTCCCTGCTGTCTTATGGTTATGGTTTTGGGGAACAAGTTCCTGATTTTGGTACTGGACTTGAGATATGTCTCAGGCTACCATTGGTTATTTCCTTCTTCCCTGTCTCACCCCTGTCTCAAATCCCAGGCATACTGGGATTTGAACTCAGAACTTTGCACTTGCCAGGTAGTCTCTCTATTACTTGAGCCAGTCTCTACCTTGTTTTTTTTTCTTTTGGGTCCGGTTGTGGGGCTTGAACTCTGGGCCTGGGTGCTGTCCCTCAGCTCTTCAGCTCAAGGCTAGCACTCTACTACTTGAGCCACAGCACCACTTCCGGCTTTTTTCTTTTTGCTTCTGTGGTGCTGAGGAATCGGACCCAGGGCCTCATGCATGCAAGGCAAGTGCTCTACCACTGAGCCACCTTCCCAGCCCCTCTACCTTGTTTTCATGTGAAATGTCCATCATTCCATGGGCCAGTGTGGTTCCATGGCTAGTGATACATGTCAGGCTGGCTTGTCCCTCAGCCTCGGTGCCTGGAAACGTTCCCCCCTTGCCCTAACCCTTGAGGATTAGCCACACTGACCAGAATTGTCGATGGCAAAATTCTCATTTCCTTTCAGGATTTGGTACATGACAGAGGCATGGTCGGCCACGGTAGGGTCGTCTGCATCCACGGCGGTGACACGGATGACGGGGGTCCCTGGGGAGAGGAGAGTCCTGGGGTTGCTGCCTGTGATTCTGGTCCCCGTTAGCCCATTTCCAGATGGGGTACTGCTGTCCCCTCATCCCCAGCCCCATGTTTGAAGGACAAGACTTGTGTTTACATCCCCCGAGAGCCCTAGTAAGGGCAAAGGTGTAGTGGCAGTGGGGGGCGGGGTGTGGCGGTCCAGGCAGGTGAACTGTGAACTGGTAGTGTGTGCATGGGTGGGAAAAGGAGGAGAGGATGGCTGATGTGAGGAGTAGAAATTCAAGAAAGCAAGGAGCTGTTTTTCCCTGTCCTTCAAGGGTGCATACAAAGGGCTGGGAAGTAGAGGGTGACCTTCATCTTCTGGGGCTCTAGGGTTTTGTTTTGTTTTTGTTTTTGTTTTTTTTTTTTGCCAACATTAGGGCTCAAACTCAGGGCCTGGGCTGCTATCCTCTTAGCTTTCTGTTTTTTTTTTTTTTTTTTTGCTCCAGGCTGATGCTCTGCCACTTGAGCCACAATACCACTTTTGGCTTTTTGCTGGTTAACTGGAGATAAGAGTTTCTTGGACTTTCCCACCTGGGCTGGCTTTGAACCTTGGTCCTCAGATCTCAGCCTTCTGAGTAGTTAGGATTACAGGCGTGAGCCACCAGCACCCAGTCATCACCTTCAGTTTTCATAGGGAGGTCTGACCCTAGGGCCCTAGTCAGGGGATTGTGGACAGGGATAGAGGGGGACTTTCTTTTCTAGTGCCTCTGGAAATAGGACAGAGGAAGGAATAACTTGCTAAGCTTGGGTCTAGACTGATGACACTTCAGGCCCAGGGCTCAGACCCAGCCTCTACTATATGGTCCCTAGACAGGAATGTGTATATATATATATATATGTGTATATTATATATATTATATACATACATATATATGTGTATATATTACACATAATATATACAAAATTTATACAAATATATAATATATACAATAATATATACAAATATATACACATATATGTGTATATATTATATATTACATATTATATATGTGTGTACATTATATATATCATATACATATTACCTTGGTGGCGTGGCTTGTACTAATTCATATGCAAAGGGCACCCTCTTGGCATGTCAGGCCTGGGAGTTAAGGGCAATAGGGTGGGGTGAGGTGGTTCCAAAGATTAATGAGATATATATCTCTGATGGTCAATGCTCAAACTATGATCAGGATCAGGGTTCAGTACGGATCAAAGTTAGAGCTTAGTTTTAGGGACCTCTATTTTTCAATTGTATAAAGGGACAAGAGAATCGCAGCAGCCATGGCCCTGAACGCCCTGACCCTTGACCCCCGGCAATGAGGTGGCTGATGTGAGCAGAGGCTGGAGAGGAAGGAGGGGGGAGGGGCAGGGACAGGTCTGGACGTACCCACGGGTGACATCTCGCGTACGGACGCGTTGTACAACCGGTGTGTGAACATGGGCCAGTTGTCGTTGATGTCGTGGACTTTGATGGTGAAGTTGGAAGGAGGCTCGAGGTTCTTGTTGGTGTCCTTGTCCACGATGAGGGCGGTGAGGTGGTACTCTGGAATCTTCTCCCGGTCCAGCCTCTCAAAGGCCTGCACATCCCCTGTTTCTGAGTTCACCTGGAACACCTTGCCGACAGAGTCTCCTTGGAGCACGTACTTGGCATTCTTCCGGTTCACATTGGAATTGATCTGGGGGAGGGGAGGGAGAGGCACCATGCTGGGAACAGGCAGGGTAGTGGTGCATATGTGCAAGTTGTGTGTGTGTGTGTGTGTGTGTGTGTGTATAAGCCTGCATGTAAATGTGCATGCTCTATCCTAGGGATCGAACTCATGCACACTAAACAGCACATCCCAATCTGAGCTATTCTGCCAGTCTCCTGGTGCACTGCTTATTTCCGAGAGTTGCTTTCTTCTTGGGTGGAGCCTTGATCTTTCTATTTGTGCTTTCCCAAGTTGCTGGGATGATGAGCTAGGAGAAGTCTTTGATTGAGATGGAGTCTCATGAACTTTCTTCTGGACCAGCCTTCAACTGAGATTCTTGCACTCTCTGCCTCCCAAGTAGCTAGGATTACAGGCATGAGCTACCTTGCCAGGCTGGTAGTGAAGCTTTTATTTTTTATTTTTAAACTTGACAAGTTTCTCCAATTGATCACTAGTGAGCAGTTCTTTGCCAAGTCAAGGCACACACCACAGTGCTATCAGTCCCCTAGCATTGCTTAAGGCCTAGAACAGTGCCTGGAACGTAACAGGTACTCCAAAAAACTTTGTGGTGTAGAGTTTGAACTTAGAGCTTTGTTCTTGGTAGGCAGGTGCTCTACCACCTAAACCATACCTCCAATCTTTGTTCTTTTTTGCTTTCTAGTTAGTTTTTTCAGATGAGTTTTCATGTTTTTGTCTGAATCTTGCCTTGGATCATGTTCATCCAACTTCTACCTCCTGTCTAGCTGGGATTACACGCATTTAGTACCATACCTGGCTTAGATACTTTTTTTTTTTTTGGTTGGTCATGGGGCTTGAACTATGGACCTGGGCACTGTCTCTCAGCTCTTCAGGTCAAGGCAAGTGCTCTACTACCTTTTCCGGTTTTCTGGTGGTTTATTGGAGATTAGAATCTCACAGACTCTCCTGACTGGGCTAGCTTCGAACCGTGATCCTCATATCTCAGCCTCCTGAGTAGCTAGGATTATAGGCATGAGATGGGCACCCGGCTGAGATTTTGTTTTTGAGCGGAAGAATACATTTAGTGCTGTTGGAAGGCAAGGGGGATTCTCTCTCTCTCTCTCTCTCTCTATATATATATATGTGTGTGTGTGTGTGTGTGTGTGTGTGTGTGTGTTTGTCTTCCAAAGTACCTAATCTGTTTGACTTGTTTCCTCATCTGTGAAATGGAGCTATGACAGTTTCTGAGGTTCTGAGGTTGAGTTGCTCTAAGGCATGGAGTTGTACTTTTCAAAATGAGCCCAGGAAATCTTGATCTTTTCTGTTGTTCCAGGACCAGGAAGTTCCAGCAGGTTGTGTGCTGGGGCCAGTTTTATATTGGCATGGCTCTTGAGATTCAACTGAAAAGTTCAGTATTCTCTCCGAGCTGGCTGTTAAACACAGCTGTTACATTAAAAATTGAACCACATACACTTAGGAGCCAATAAAGCCTTAAACACAAAGGTCAACAAATATTGAGAATTTATCACTGGCTAACGATCCTTGCATTCCACCACAGTCTTGAGATGTTCGCCGCCTTCAGCGTGAGTATGCTGGCGGTGGTGGCGGTACTAAGTTGGGGATGTGTCTTGTCCCAATTCTGCCCTCAGGGAGGCCCTCTGGCAGCTTAAAACAGCTGCAAAGACAGCGTTTACACTGTGGAAATCGGCAGATGCTGGGCAGCAGGCTGGCTTCTCCTGCGGGCCTGTTGTCAAATATTTATCAGCATTTCTGCTGCTGGTCAATTTACTTTGGGGATGGTCATAAAATGTCTTCTTTTTGGAGATTTACTGTGCCCAGTCTTACAGAAAAGAACTCCCATGAGCCTCATTTAACCCAGAATTTTCCACCATTTTTATAATACCGAGACTTTTTTTCCCCCTTGTAACACATACTATTAGTGTCCCAAAGAATAAAATGTACAGAATAATGTGTCAAGACCCTTCCATTGAACACATCTTTTTTCTTTTGCTGGTCCTGGGGCTTGAGCCTCTGCTCTGGGCTCAAGGCTAGCACTCTACCACTTGAGCCACAGTACCATTTCTGGCTTTTTCTGTGTATGTGGTACTGAGGAATTGAACCTAGGACTTGATGTATGCTAGGCAAGCTCTCTACCACTGAGCCAACATTCCCAGCCCACTGAACACATCTCTCAGTAAATGCTGGCTATTATTAATGATAAAATCACAAGTTAAAGGCCATTAGAAGGTCAGGACTGTTGAACATTCTGTTCATAAAAAAATTCTAAGATAATATCAAGACCATAAGCTAATGGTATCTCAGTCACACAAACTGGTACTCTTCTAGAAGGTTAGAATGAGTAGATGTTAATAGGAAAAATATATAAATTTGAGGTGACCGCCCCCATGGTGGGGACACAGAGACATGCAGAGACTCTGCTGACTCTGAGGACTGAGCTTGGACTCCTAGAGATGGCAGAATGTGGGGTTCAGATACAGTAAGGGTGCATGGACAAGCCCGGGGGGAGGGGAGAACCAAGAGAGAAGCTGCAGTTTCAGGGAGAAAGTGGGAGGTTCCAGAAGGCTAGGATCCAATCCCATGAGGTCTAGAAAGTGTTCTTAGGACTTTAGCAGTTATTGGAACCCCTGGGGCAAGAAATGGCAGCTAGGGCATGGGGCTGAGAAGCAGGAGAAGGTGAAGGCGGTGGGGCCAGAAGGGAGGACCCTATGCCTGGAGGAGGAAGAGGGGAGGGACGGGGTCCATGGCTGGTTACCGCGAGCACCCTGGGGGCACAGCTTGAGGCTCCTGAGGAGGACTCAATGCCCTGTGGCCAGGATGCAACAGCTAGGTGGGGCCAGAAGCGATTCCTTACTTCTTCAGGGACCATGGGAACCAGGAGGAGGCCTAGTGTGGGGCCCTGTGGGACTCGTCCAGATTGCAGTGAGATGCTGTCTTTACTGGGTTTTGGGGTGTGTGATGGGACCATCAGGCAGTGATGCTAGGAGGTGGTGAATCAGAGGGTGGCGGGAACTGGAGCAGTAAAGAGTTTGTGGGTATCTAAGTTTCTATTTGCTTCCCCTAATTTTCCTTAAATAGATGATTGACTGACGGATTGATTTTGGTGCCAACACTAGGGCTTGAATTCAGTGCTTGGGTGCTGCCCCTTAGCTTTTTCTCTTGAGGCTGTACCATTTGCATGTCAACATCCCTTCCAGTTCGTTACTGGTTAATTGGAGATAGGAGTTCTCACGGATTTTACTGTTCAGGCTAGCTCTGAACTGTGATCCTCAGATCTCAGTTTCCTGAGTAGCTAGGATTACAGACATGAACTATTGGTGCCTGGCTCGACTTTATTTTATTTAATTTGTTTTTTGCCAGTCCTGGGGCCTAAACTCAGGGCCTGGGCTCTGTCCCTGAGCCTCTTTGTGCTAGCACTTTACCACATCAGCCACAGTGCCACTTCTGGCCTTTTCTGTTTATGTGGTACTGAGGAATTGAACCCAGGGCTTCATGCATGCTAGGCAAGCACTCTACCACTAAACCACATTCCCAGACCCTCAATTATACATATACATATATATATATATATATATATATTAAAGATACTATACAGAGGGGTTACAGTTACATGAATAAGGTAATGAATACACTTCCTATCGAGCATTGTTACCCCCTCCTTTGTTTTTCCCCTACCGTCCCTCCCCAAGCTGTAAAGTTCATTTTCAAGGTAGTGTCTTGTACATCTCATTGTTACAATGGACCCACCTGTATCCTCCCCTCCCCAAATTAGAAAAATGTATATACAAGATGCAGGGCACCAGAATCAAATACAGTGAAAACAGGGGTTATACTATGGAGGAAGAACATACCAAAGAAACAAAAAAAAAATCACACAGTATATTGTAAGTACATTTGAAATAACATCAACAGAGATAAAAACTCTTTTATCCCTATCTTGGGGTTCATTTTGCTTAGCATCATCTTGTATGGTCATATGTACATAGCTTTTGGCCTTTTCTGCTTGTCCTAGACATATACTAGTTATTGCAAGTAAGGGAAACCATGGGACCTATGTTTCTTTGGGTCTGGCTTACTTCACTTAATATGA